AATTACGAATTGAAATAAAGATTTTGTCAACGACTCTAATTGAGATCTATACTTTTAATGAATTTTATATGCAATTAAATGCCTATTGTTATTTCCTGCTATTTACCATCTTTCCCTCTGTTATATATTGTCCTTAAAACACACACCTAACCGGCTGTGTTTTAGGATAGCAGATGAACACCAGATCTGATCTCAGACTTAAACTCTGCACACATGTGGAATCAGTTCAACGCCACCTCCATTGAAAATAGAAAAAAAATAACAAAAATCATTCAATAGTTAAAAACTATTGACTGAACAAGTTAAACTCGACTAAACTGATAAGCTACTGAATACATGAAGAAGAAATAAAATGGTTCAAATCATTAACCAAGTCACAGTTTGGGAGGAAATATAATATGCACAGATTACCACCCAAATTACTAATCCCACAGTTTTAATCCAACCAGAAAATATTTCCTTGTATTAGAGGATTAAAAAAAAATTTTCAATATATTTCTGCTTTTCTCCAAAACCAAATGAATGAAAATCTAAGCAGCTGTGCAGGTAAATATGTTTGCAAAAATGCAAATACACACAATGCAATCATTTATTTATCCAATCTGCTTTTTAAATCAGCGCTTTAGGACCAAACAACTGAGGATTATTTCAGTTTGGGTTTGAAAGCCGTTTCCAAGGCTCCTCCTGTATCAGCCCTAAGCTCTCCTCGTTCAGCACATGTTTTTCTGGTGGCTTACTCAGAAGGGGCTGTTAGTGTTTTTATTTTTGTTTTTTATTAGCCGAACATGTCACACTCATCTGACAGAAGATCGGCTTCTCTTTTAACCACTACAGCTTTCTACGCTGGCAGCATAATAGCCTGTGTTTCAGCAGCACTTTACTCCAAAAATGCTGTTATTCTGAAGTGTAGGTTCAACCTTGAAGTTTATTGTCCTCTGTTTTCTGAGAGGCTGGATGTGTGTGTGTGTGTCGGAGGGGGGGGGGCTGCTTATTACACAATCACAGTAGAGGTTTAACGCTGGTTGGTGTTTAACCTTTCTTAGAAAGGGACATGAGGTACATTCATTCAGAGAATCTGGCCATCAGCTGCAGGATGCTGGGTTGTTTAGCGTTAGGTTTCTGCAGATGAAAGAAGAGATGAAGCAGCGTCTGTGTCCAGGATGGAGGAGGGATGGGCCTTTATTCACTCACTGATCTACACATATCCACACATATTTACACACACATATGGTAAAATCCACTGTTACTCTCTGCAAAACCAGATCCTGTCTGACTCTGCCGAATTGTTGTGCAGGGTAACTCAGGGCTCTGTTTTGTTTTTAATGTATGTCCTTCCATTTGGAACGTTTATTCAGAGATTTGATGATGTTTCCTATCACCTGTTTGCTGATGATATCCAGCTTTACTGCTCGTTTTAGTCCTCAGAGATCCAGAAGTTAAGCTCTACTGAAATGTCGTGCATAAGTTAAACAGAAGCTTGGTGCAAATTCCCTGCAACTAAACTCAGATAAAACGGAGGTGCTGGTGATTTGGCGCTATTCCAGGTATCCACCAGTATCGGTGTGTTAAACCAAGCCTTAGAAACTTAAGCGTCATCTTTGACAAAGCATTGTCTGTAAGAGCACCACTCAAAACTGCTGACAAGGAACTTTATAAAACTATATTAATAAATGGAATTGAATTAAACTGTTTTTAACCAGCTGAAGAAAATCTCTAAACTTAAAACAATTTTCTCCAGAAATCTTGAAATGATTATCCACGCCTTTGTGTCTTCCCATTTAGAATAATGTTTCTTATGTCTAAAAAAAAAATAAGGAGTCTGACTCGTCTTCAGCAGGTTCAGGTCACTGACTCGTACAAACAGAGGAGCTCCTATTACGCCAATTCTAAAAGCTCTTCATTGGCTCCCAGTCTCTTTTCGGTTCCAGTTTAAAATCCTGGTGCTGACCTTCAGGGCCTTCCACGGTCAGGCTCCCTCCGACATTAGAGACTTGTTGTTTCCTTACACCCCCATTCAGAGGCTGAGGTCTCAGGACCAGAACCTGCTCATGGTCCCTCGTACAGAACCAGGGCAGATCGCTCCTTTCAGGCCGTGGAGCCGGCGCTTTGGAACGATCTTCCGCTTTCTTTGCTCGTACTTGATTCTGTCGATGTTTTTAACTGAAAACCTGTTTGTTTAAGAAAGCATTTTAATACTAGTAGATTAAGGATTGTTTTATGATCTTGTCTTTTGTGACTGTAAATGTATTTTTATTTGAACTAATTTTATGAAGCACTTTGTGACCTCTATGTCTGTGAAAGGTGCTATATAAATAAGCATTATTTACTTGCACATTTATTCATACGCCTGGAAGGCTTAGGAAATGGGAGGTCATAGTTCTGTACAGCAGCAAACCCCTTCTTAAAGCATCCAGCCTGTTTCAGAGGATGCTATTGGTTATTTATTAGGTGAAACTCAGGGCCTGAAGCTTTTAGCCACCAGAGGCTTTTGGCACCTCAAATAAAGATGAGCGACTCAGAAAAATGCTTTAAAATGTTTTTTGATCCTATACAGAGTAACGTCATCTGTATCTGACCTGGTGTGATCAGCATCTTTGAGCGTGTTGAAGATCTATCATTAACATGAACAAACTGAATTCGATCAGATAGATCAGATTTAAACC